AAAAAAAAAAAAAAAAAGAATGGGTTATGGTATTACAGTCTGGAATTTGCATGGGAGTAGGGGGAAATAGTGTCTCCTGGATCAGAGAATATGGGGAATAAAGGGAGCTATCATTTGGAAGGACAAAAGGACTTAGGCAGGAACCAATATACTCATTGCTGTATTAGTTTTCTATGGCTGCTGTAATAAATTACAACATAGTGGCTTAAAACAACATAATTTTTATCTCATAGTTTTGTAGGTAGAAAGTCCAAAATGAGTCTCATTGGGCTAAAATTGATATGTCAACAGCACTGCATTTTTTCAGGAGCCTATAGGGGGAGAATCTATTTCCTTGTTTTTTCAAGATTCTAGAGACCACCCACATTCCTTTGCTGTGGACCCATCTCTCTATATTCAAAGCAAGCATTCGCAGGATCTCATTTTCCTCACACTGCGTCACTCTGGTTGGTTCTCTGCTTTCATCATCACATCCTGTCCCTTTTAAGAACCCATGTGATTGTATTGAGCCAAGCTGGATAAATCGGGGTTGTCTTCCCACCTCAAGGTCCTTAACTTGATCACGTCTGCAAAGTCCCTTTGCCACGCAAGGTAATATATTTACAGGTTATAGGAATGATGACAAGGACATCTTTGAGGCTCCATTTTTCTGCCTACTAAGGAAATTAGGACTCAATTAAGGCAAAGAGGTTTTAGAAGCAGGTTGCAGATTGAGTGTGATGTTAGGGATTTATTTGCTGTGAAAAGATTTCGGAAGACATGGTCGAAAGGTTTGAGAGGAGCAGCAAAATTAGACCAGAAATGTGGTTTTTAGTATTCGTATGATCTCCAATAGAAATGATCCTATTGTTCATGCAATGATCCTTTCAACGTTATACTTGTCATCAACAAAGAATGATGGGTTAGAAATGAGATTTTTTTAGTATGTTTATGATTAAGGCCAGTCAAACCTAGGAAGGGTTTGCCTGTTTCATAGACAGTTTTTTTAAACAATATCATAAAGCATTGGTTTAGTGAGTGAAAGATAACTTTAAGTTCATATTGTACTATTAACTTTTGTTTAGCTGCTCCAAGTTGTCAACTAAATATGCTTTAAGGATATGATTGCACATGTGCTTAAATGAAACTTATTGAGGCCACTCACAATTGTCACAGGCAACTGAATAGTTGTAATGAAGCTGTTAGTTGTATCGAGAACTGAGGCTGGGCTCAAAATAATAACTAAGGTGAAGTTGTAGGTGATTATAGCTATTCTTGGAATTTCAAGTTACTCATGAAAAATGTCAGCCCTTTACTAGCATTTCCTATCAAATGTTACTTTAGTAAAAATGTCATAATATCCCATGCTATAAAAACTGGCCAACATATTATTGTTACAACTTCATTTAATTAAATAACTCAAAAATAAAGTAAAAAGCAAAGATATAATGTTGCCGTTTTTATACCATTATTCAAATAAGGAATGTTGACAGCACCTATATTACACTCCTGTGGAAAGACATGTCTTGTTCTGATTAAAAGATGTATGGAGCTTTCTGTGATATGTAACATCGTAATGAGGTCATTTAAATGTTCATCGAACAACCAGCCAAGTTTGGGGACAGGGTCAAAGAATACTGGTGCAGAGTGATGAGACAGGGGAATTACAGAACTTTCATGTGTTCAAAGCAACTCTATTATTTTTGTTACAAATATTATAGTCTTCAAAATACATAATACAATAGGCTTCAAACTTAAATATCACAATCAACAATCTAATTTGCCATTGTCTACCATTTTTGTATTATTTGACTCCTAAAGTATTATTGACCATTTGTTGCCCTGTGTGGATGAAATGAATGTATCCTCTAAAGATTTGGACATTTCTTCTCTTTATACACAAAGAGAATGGTACTTATCTAAAGCAGGGATGCTCTGATAGTTTATCTTTAAAAAAATCATTAGTTGGCTGAAAAATGAGAAACTACAGAACACATGTTTTTAAAATTAAAATGATAGATATGTCTATTTTCAAGGTATTCAAAATGTGAATTTTTAACAGTGATGCAAATGCAGACCAGAAAAGTTTAATTTCATTTGTTTATTATTTTAAAATTATTACTTGTTGACCTAGTTTTAGACATTAATCAAATAAATGTGAAATAGGTATTTGAGATCTTCTGGAGAAAAGTGAGAAGGTTTCAGTCAAGGTACATCTGGGTTTTGACCTGAGGCACAGATCTCTGAGAATACATGCGTATTCAATATTCAAGGCTCACGTATTCTCAGTGTCAAATTTGAGGTTTTATGAAAGAGTAGGTCCTTTCATGGGCTTACATAGATTTACATATTGCACAGAATTTTGCTCATACACAGCTAAAAAATTCAGGATGATTCTGGTTTCTACTTAATTGTTTCCAAAATGTTAGGATTACAGGTTTCTTGGCAAATACAGTTTCCTGTTGACTCAATCAACTTTTGTTGAAAGTTGAACACACTGATATGTCAGATACTTGGTATCACACACATAAACTGAAATTCATAAGTCAACGATAGCCTCAGGAGCCTAGATTATGGTTTCTACTTATGGAAACCTGTGACTTTTCTAAGAAATTGTGCCTTCATTTCCTTCATCTAATTCCACAGTTCTGCCAACTCTGGGATTCTCTTGATCTTAGAATTCTTTCAGTTTTCATTTTCTATTTGTTTCACCCACTGGACCATTGAAATTTAAATGAATGTTTTACACTTCCTTGAATAAATAAGCAATGTGCTTGTTTTTCTCTTACAGTTTCAATTTTAGTGTTTAAGGGGTCTAATTATATCCATTAGATAAAATGATCTCATCGGTCAATAGAGAGAGATCAAAACTTGAGTTAAACTATCAAAAATCTGGATTTAAGACGGCAGCTCAGTATCTCTCTATCAGCTTTGTGTGACCCTGACATTTGACTATAATAGAACAAATAAGGTATACTATGCATACCCTATCTACGGTCTATATTTTACAAAGTAGCACTGACTAAGGGGGAAAACAGGTATTACATTCATACACTTAGTCACTTCCTCCTCTATATAATGCTGTGGGTCTGTTTTGCAAATTTAGGTGAAACTCCTTCAGCAAAAATGTTAGCTGGGCAGACCTGTAATTCTTTTTCATTTGTACAAACTGTTTTTCTCATATCATTGCAAATTATCTGTGGGAAGTGAACACAAACATCTCTCATTCATGCATTCTTCTAATTTGTGTATAGTAGCTACATGGGTAAAACTTTTTTGGCTTAAATATCAGTTTAGTGACACCTGTGGGTCAGGAGGCCACATTTGTTCTCCAGGCTGTGTTTCACATACAGGAATAAGACAGGAGGGAAATAGTGGTTGGGTGAACTCAGCATTTATTGGAAAAATTTTGAAAGGGCAGCATCAGGATGGATATTGCAGTGATTATGCATTAATCATTCTCTAAATTATTCAACCTTGGATGCTTATAAAAAGAATATGTGACAAAGAATTAAAATGATTGAAAATATTCCAAATTATTGAAAGTAAATATTCTATTCCAAATTATTCAAAAAAAAAATCAATAATGGCATTTCTAAAATCAAATCCCAATTCTGTTTTTATCATTGAATCACCTTTTTAGTAACCTTTTTCCAGCAAATTTCAATTCCTTTGGAATATTTAACTGACACATCTCAGAATAATACTCTGATCAAATGATAAAAACTGCAAATTTCTTTCATTTCATTACCTACATACTTTTTGAGAGTGAGAGAACTCAGATGGATCTGCAAAACCCATATGATTATTTATAAAACCCAGTTTGTTTCCAAATAAATTGATGTTACTGGTGCCCTTTTGAAAATATGTGTTTTGTAAATAATCAGTTTAATGTGTTTTATCTGAGCAATTAAGTTATTATTAAAGTTGGCACATTCACAATAGCTCTTCTGGTTTTCTTTCAAGGATCCTCTGTTTCACCTGGAGTCACACAGATCTGAGAGAGGAAGGGGCAGATGTCCTTTTGACCCCAGCTCCTCCTTCATCTCCACTTTAATTGGTAATTATCGTGGCCGCAGACATCAGGTGGTAGTCATAATGATTTTGAGATCTATTTCTCAACTTCAGTTACATTCTTTCAGTATTTCTTTATATTCTCTGTCTTGTCATATCTATTTACTGGTGCTGGAAGCAATGATATTCAATTTCAAACCATGCTAACTTTAACAATTAGACTCTAAAACAAGTGCAGCTGCTATGAAGTATGTGTGTCTCATTCTGAAAAAACAAATTGTCACTTAATAACTGGTATAAGAAATTTTGTATGGTGCTATTTACTGCTTACGAAATGCAGTTATATGAAGACTTTATAAAAATTTTGCTAGAGAACTAAACTATTTTAACATATGTGAATTCTTTATGTTTCAATTACATTTTAACTTTAGGGAAATTTCAATATTCTTTTTCGTACCTTTCTCTGTTATCAGTAGAATTTAGCAGAAAGGCAACTCAACTGAGGTTGAGACTATCAAATTTATTTAAATTTTTGCTAATCTAGAATGTAAATTATAGAGGTTAACTAGCTCAAACTATCACTAAATGTATGTGTTGAAATAATGGAATACATTGACAATGTGTAATCTAGATTTCAATTTGATTAAATTTAATTATATGAGTTACCTAAGAACCTCACTTAAAGACACAACAAAGTACTTTGTCTTTTATACCATTTGGGGTTGAAAATGGCGCACTTGTCAAAGCATTCTAGCATTGTGATGGTACAGACAGACAGATGGATGAGTTCCTAAGTATAAAATTGAAGAAAGCAATCTCTGACACCTAACATAGGTGCTAATAGGAATGATGCTATTTCCTCAGTGTTAAGAGGGTCTGATATAGGTATGGTAGAAATGTGCAAGGTTCTATTACATTTACAACGTTTAGAGTTATATATGCTATAAGCATTATTTCTCATCTTTGAGGAAAATGAGAAAATATAAAAAGATATAGAGACTTCATATTCTAAACTCTTAAAACTTCCAACTGAAGATTAAAATATTTTATGTTTGATTTAGAGTTGACTTAAGTTAGTAGAAATCAAAACCCTAGGAATGACACTTTTGATGAATGTCAGATCCATAAATGCTAGAAATTCCAAGGAAATTGACAAAATATGAATTAAAATTCATACATTTGTTAGACTCATACAATCTTTTTATAAAGTCTTTAGTGATGATGGTAACATCATATATTTAAGATTTTAATAGGTCTGAGAAAAAGACTTTTTCTTTTACCATATCATATCTTAAACAGAATAGACTTCCCATAAATACTGAATAAAGTACTCATTGAGGTTCTTAAACAAAAAATAAATTTCAGACTATTTTTCATAAGAATATAAAGTAAATTGGAAGGTGAAAATTACACAATGTACAAAGCCTCTATAGTGAAATCCTAGGGATATTATTTTCATTTAAATGGTTAAAAATAATTTCTATAGCCACCCTGACATTCAGTGCTCTGCTTCCCTGGAGCTTGTTTATGCATGAAGCCAGGAATTTAAAACTGAAACTTTTAAGAGGGGAAATATTACTGGAGAGACATTTCCAAGTGAGTTTCATTGAACTTCCAAATCAAATTACACTCTGCTGAAATGTGAAGTGCTTGCCATCTGGGTGGCTGTTTCGCTTATTCAGAAGAGAAATCAAATCAAAAGAGCCCTCCAAGCTAAACACAAAAGTTGTAGAATAATCCCCCCAAAGAGGAGAAATAGAAATATAATTCTTCACATTTAGCCACTCACTTTCATCCCAAAGTACCTTGGAGAGATCATTCACTCACTGTGGAAATGCCGCAGCCACTGGATGGAAACTCGATAACCTATATGAGCCAGAAACTCTTTAAAAGAAGGGAAGTGAAAATAATTCACCCAATTGAAATAGCAGCAGGAATGTGGGCTGGAAAAATGGAGCTACCTGAGTTGGAATTTGGCAAGCTGGGTGAAGCTTACTCTGACACAGAAAGAATGTATTAATGAGTTATTTTGTGACCACACATGTTCTGTGCTGATGGGTTAAGATGAGACTCCAGGAAAGATGGCTATCTTTAGACCACTGCTCCTCTTTGTTAATCATGTTAATCATGTCACACATGTTTAATGCCTGTTCACATGAAGACAGATTTAATGATAAAACACTGAAGTTGGTAGCAATACTCAAAACTACAGGCCTCAAAGGAAAAACAGAACTTATAAATCAGAGAATTTCCTAACTTTAGATACAATTTTAATTCGGTTAACTTAAATTCAGTTGACTTAAGAGCACATGGAATAAAAGACTATTGAAAAATTGAATATTAGGTATTTTTATTAACTTTATAATCTAATTTGAAAAAAAGTTGATAACATATAATGATTCAATGTGAAAAAGGATTTAAAGAGTAAAACAAGCTCAATAAGGAGCTTGTTCAGAAACCAATAAAAATGAAATCATATCCACTCACTTTCATCCCAAAGTACCTTAGGTTTATTCTGAAATGCCACTTTGTAGTAACATAATTTATCTTGGTAGCACACAAGTTCATGCCTCAAGGGAAATATTTCTTCATGTTTAGCCAAGTTTTCCCCCAGTGTGATTACTAATACGGGATTTAAAGTGGTATAAGTAGTGGGGCACAGTGGCTCACACCTGTAATCCTAGCACATTGGGAGGCCTAGGCAGAAGGATCACTTGAGACCAGGAGTTCAAGACCAGCCTGACCAACATAGCAGGACCCCATCTCTATAAAAGATAGAAAAATTAGCCAAGCATGGTGATGATGTGGCTCTGTAGCCCCAGCTACTTGGGATGCTGAAGCAGGGGGAGTTTGAGGCCGCATTGAGCTATGATGATGCCACTACAGCGCTCTAGCCCAGGTGACAGAGCAAGACCTTCTCTTAAAATAAATAAGTGGTTAATTAACTGTCTGAAGAATACAAGGCATTACAATCTGGTTTTAAAAATACTTTGTCAAAACAATGAATTTTTCAGTAGAATGAATTGCTTCATCATTTGTCTATTGTCTTTCAGATCATCCAAAGCTACTTAGTACTTATTTTGCCACTAAATTATTAAGCTTAATGACAGCCCAAATTAAAATCCAGGGAATATTTTCTTTATATCATATGTCATTTTGGCCAGAAAGAAAATATTTCGGTTGTCTCATTATGTTTGATGTAATATTGCAATATTCTCATTAAACTGAAAATACCTTCAGTAACTTTAGGATCCCTTGTACTTTGTCCTTTCAATCCTATTGCCTTTTTTTTTTTTTTTGCACTTTATTCTGACCTATAGTTGTGTTACCAGTTCCACATATAATTTAATTCTACCATGCCTGAAATGCCTAAGGCATGCTAAGATGCACTGTGCTAGTATTTGGGGGAAAATCACTCTGATTTGTAATGTACCCTTTGACACTTTGCTTTGAAAGTGTTAACTTTTTTGTTGGGATATATTTAGGGATATTTTTGAAGTTAAAGAGTTACTAAATTTTGTGTCATCAAATAACCACTAATAAGATATTTTACAGTTAATGAAATTTTCTTTCTACTTTTTTGTCCTCTTACTTTTTTTAGCAAATAAAACTACAAAGTTTACAGTCACCAAAATCTTCTTCCTGAACTTTTTCATAAAAATAAGACCTTTGTGAATACATATCCTCATTACAAATTCTGTAAATTAAAGGTCAGTATTGATTGAAATACACACAAGGAAAATTTGTGATTATTTCACGTTCTTAATAACATTAAAGCATTTTTAATAAATGTTTTTTAATTATATTTATATTCAGGGAATACAACAGGCATTAAGATTATTTATTATAAAAGTAAATGAAAAAATCTGAATAAAGGTAGAATATGTGTCTTTATAATTGTAACTTCTGCACATATGACAAGTGAAAGTGCTCATTTGTTTTGTGAATTCATCCCAACTGTATAGAAACGTAGACTTCAAGTTATTCCCTTACCATGTTCCAGTCCCTAAAAAATATCTATAATTTCTCATCCAAGATTGCTGCTCTCTTACAATTGGCTGAATGCCCATTATCCACATGCTCTCTGTAGTGTCTGGCCACAAGTGTTAGTCTCTAGAGAGCTATTTGAATACTTTGCTTATGGTGTCCTCACAAATGAAAAAAAAAAAGAGTAAAAAATATCTACTCTTTAATTCTCCACTTATATTCTCTCCTTTAAGAATCTGGTTTAACTATGATGGTATCAATGTCACTGGTTTGCAGCCATGAGTGCTGGCAAATACAAATAAACAGATTGAAAACATTTTTGTTTTTCCTTCGTATCTCAAAAACCACCTTCTTAACATTGATAACAAATGCTAATTATCTGGCAAAACAAAATCAAACCAAAAGTCCAAACACAACAACTAAATACCTAAGAAAGTCACTTGTTTTTCCTGGTTTCTTTCAGCATCCCAAGCAGAATATGATGTGAACTAGGATGTTGGAATATACGGATGGTTCTCATCCTCATAAGTGCATTTTCTTTCTCTTTCCAGCTATGCATGTCTAGAATAGTCATTCTGCAAAATTGTGATTAAAAGACTTTAGCCATATGCTGTTCCATGAAACAAACGTGTTTCACATTATTTAGATTTGTAAAACGTACATTTATAACATAAACAAGAAAAATGCTTGAGTACAACTTAAGGTGATCATGAAAACCTACTGTGAAATTTCTTACTAGACAATTAAAACTGAGAGGTCCAACATGGTAAATAAAAACTCATAATATATAGTCCATGAACAAAACTCTTGGTAAGTTCCATACAATATTAAGGCAATGTAATATGTTTAATTAAAATCTCAACTACAGTTTGTATTGTAAAAAAGGAATTATATAGACATGTATTTTAATTACACATTTAAGCTTAAAATTATTATAAAGAATTTGTTTTTGTATATTGCCAAGGGTTAAATGATTATCTTATTTTCTTTCTTATAAACAGTTTAGTGTAGCCATAGTCTTTTAATCACAATAGTGTCCTTTGGGCTGAAACTATTGGGGACAAATTCTAGGGAAAAAATAGAAAAAATATTAATTAAAATTAATAAGGTCCTTATGGAACAAAAATTCAAAGATCTCTATAATTCATATAAGTTCCTAATAGCTTTATTTTCTTTTGACATTTTCTCCCTGAAGCAGTTTTGAAAAATCAGAATCTCTTACCCTAAATGTTTATTGCATTTCATAGCTTATCTTAAACACCTGAAATGAACTTTAGATATTTTCAATTATTAATTCATAAAGCCATTCATTGATTCAACAGATATTGAGCATTTCTGTACTCTACACATTAATAAGTCATAATGTCAAACACATAAGGAGTCAATTAAAATATAGTAGGATGAGCAGTATGATAGAAATCGATGTGGGGGCTATGGTGGTACTAGGAGCCATTAAACTAACAAAAGTTTGGTCAGGGAAGCCTTCATTGATAAAGTGGGCAATAGCCAGGTAAATAGAAAGTGAAGTCAGAAGGGAGATGTGGAATTGTAGGCAAAAGAGCAGCGGAGAAAATATAAAAGTTTGGCAGGTGCAAAGAATCTCTCAGAAGTCCATTTGATTCCACAGATAACTAAGACCATGAGATGTTGAATGGTTTTACCATGGTCAGAGGACAGTTTTCGAGCTAGGGACTGTGGCAGATTTTCACAGCAGAACTATTTCTACTATTCTTTTTTTCTGGACATAGAGACTCTTGTTGAGCATGACAAGAAGTTACACTCTCACCTGTCAAAATGCCTTGCAAATGTGTTTTACTTTTTAACTATAACCATATTTGACCATCTAAAATTAACATAACATCACTTATCATAAGTCAGTGCTGTAACAATAAAAAATATATAACATAACAGTTGGTTATTTATATTCAGAATATAAAAATAGATTAAATACCAATTAAATTTATGGTTAAGGTAACACCTTTGTTAAATATATCTTCATAGACATAGAAAACTAAATCTTTGGGTAGTTCTGCTCTTGACATTGAAACCCTAAAACATTTTACTCTTTATAAGAAATTTTTTAAACCATGAAAATATGATTTATGTTACTTTTGTACTGTATAAAACACCAAAATATTGATTCACAAATTTCCTCTGATACTAAATATTTATAATTTTAAAGTAAATTTTCAATTAGAGACTATATTACTATAAATACCAATAATTATAATGATGCTCAGTATTTTTGCTTATTTAAGTACTATTAGGTGATATTTGTACCTAAAGCTTTATTCTAATTTATTGTTTTTCATTACTGTGTTTTTTCCTATTTTTCTTAGAAAAGTATTTTGTCAAACATAGTTATTATCAATTACTATGAAGTTTTTCTTCTTTACTTTGATAATAAGATATAAAATGAAAATCTTTCCCTTCTGATAAAAAGCCAATGTTTTCAACACAGATATTTGGTTCAGTTTACATAGCTTATGGTTTTTAGCACCTGTCTAGCTTCTTTGAAGTTTAAGTCGTACAGTTCATAATGTGTTATTTGAATTGCTCACAAGCTATTTTTTTTTTATCCGAGTACAAAATGGGAAATTGAGTAAAATTGGAAATATAGCATTTCTTTTGTACAGATAACCTGCTCTGGATATGGTATTGTTTGGTATCATAGCATTGCCATCTAGTGGCTCCAAGGGGTACTGTTTTGCTAATTTTACAGCAATGATAAAATCACTTTAACACAATATTCCAAATTGGGATAAATGCAGTAAAATTGATACGTACTAATATAAATATTATGTTAGATTAGATTCCCATAATATTTTCAGTTATCAAATTTCTAAAATATTTTAAGAAATGAAATTAAATCGAATATTAACTTAATAGAAAACTGTCATGATTTTTAAGAAATCTAGTATTTAAACCAATTATTCATTAAACCTTCATCTCACCCCAATTTAAAAAAAAGTTATGTTTACAACAATTTTACAAGATGGTTTGTATATTTGATGTGACAAACAATTCAACGATAATTAAAAACAAAAATATTTCAGAACAATCTTCACTTGTGTTAGCAGTCACTTTTTTTAAGGGTCAACTTGATCATTTATGCCATACAGTTGATGATTCTCAAGTACTTTTAATGACTAGCTTTATCCCTGTTCCAGTGGCGCAGGCTAAATTCCAGTGACAGTTCACATCCTCAACCACTGTATGTACTTTGTCTCAAAATGCTTTCTCCATATTTAGATATGAAATTTCTGGTGAAGACAGCACTGATTGACTTTGATATAAGTTATGTTGCTCTTTTCCTCTTGAATTACCAAAGAACATGACGTGCCTAAGAGTTATAAGTTTTCTCTACCAAATTATTAATGTTCTTAACTTCAGATTTAAAGCATCCTTTTTTTCCCAGTTATTTTCCTCATCACACCTCTGAATATATGGGATGAACTAAAAAAAGTCTTTGAAAATTTTTGTTACCTTGAAAATTTTCAAATATAAAGAAAAGTTGAAAGAGTAAAATTAACACCTGTGTACCATTTACCTTGATTAACAAATTAACATTCTGCCACATTTGTTTTTCCCTCTCTCTCTCATATAATGTATGTAGTTTAAAAGTAAATTCCTCTGTGGATACCTGGATTTTATTTATTTCTATCCTATTATTATATGGTTTTTAAGCATCCTCAACAGGCTTTGTGAATAGAAGAAAACTATTTTGCATTCCTTATCTTTTAA